TTTTCGTGTAGAATCTACTTTTTACTTTTTCTATTACACAAAAGACACTTATTTTACCAAACACTATCAACTTTTACTACTAATCACTTTTTCCCCAAAAATGCTTTTATTTAAGCACAGTCACTTGCAAACAGAGCCTAAGGAGTGATGGATAATTGATTTGCTTGATTGATTTTATTACTATTTTATTTTTAATACATTCATTAGTTAATCTATTTAATGAAGTGATTATCTAAGATTTTCATTTTTCTTGTTTTCTCCATTCACATTCATGTAATCCCTTTTCAAAAAGGAAGTTTTGCCAAGCGGATAAAAAATCGAAGAAAAGTTGAGAATAAATCAAGGAAGCTAGACACGGGGCAATGACTTGCATAAGAAAACTAAACAGAAATTACCCTAAATAGGAGTAAAAACGTTTTGAAATTCCAAAATAGGAGTATCATGTTTTTTATTCTCCAAATAGGAGTAATCTGCCAAGTTTGGAAAAAAATGCCATGTTTAAAGCCTTGTAATTTCCAAACTTGGCAGAAATTTACTCCTATTTAGGGAATAAAAACATGATACTCCTATTTTGGAATTTCAAAACTTTTTTACTCCTATTTAGGGAATTCTCTCAAAAGTATAAACTACTCCGTATAAAGGTTCAAAAATATAACTCCTTTTAATATTTTCAAAAAACGTGACTCATGAGTCATGAAATTAATTAATTACTCCTTCCACATTAACTATAATAATATTACATATTAATAATAAATAGTAATTAATTTCACCTCGCACCCCCACCGTCCACCCAACACTGCCCTACTACCCCACCCATCGGCTGTCGCCGCCGCAACTATCGCACTTGCCAACAACAACAACAATGATCATCATGTATAGTTACTATATATCAAAGTCCCTATAGTCGTAGACACTTGAGTCATAATCGTAGTCACATGAACTATAACGATCTTTGCAGCAACGGAACCCTAGCCAGTGGCAGACCTTTATTCAGGGGTGTTCATGTGAACACCCAAAATTTTGAAAATTAAATGCAAAAATACATGTATAGAATGATGTACTACATAATAATTTATATATTGTACTATTAGATAACATCTTAATGATAAAGTAATTTTGAACACCTAGCTTCCGTCACTCGAACCCTAATCCTAGCTAGAGTCATTGAAACCTATGTTGCACGGATACGAATACGTAGATACGCGAAAACGGGTACAATGATATGACAATTTAAAAAATTATAGGATACGAGCTGAGTACGGGGGCATATTTATATATAATAAAAATATAAGGTATAACTTGCAAATATATATAATTCAGAGGTTGATAAATAAAATAATAGTAGTAGAAAAATTATCTATTATAGTAAAATTTCAAAGCTCAGGTTAAAAAAACTAAAGTACAAATATTTTGATTTAAATTCAAATATAAAGTAATATTTTTTTGTTCTCTATTTGCATTTACATCTAAGTCTCGTTTCAATAATTAAAGCTCATCGAGCGATAAAATGACAAATTATAGTATTCCTATATTTTTCATACTCTCGAAATCATTTTTATCAATGTTCAAACAGTTCGGTTTTCACCTAAAACCAAATGTCGAACCGAAGTAAGAAGTTCAATTCGATCTGGTTCGGTTTTATGTGAATATATAGAGTGTATTCGCTATTTATTATTGTAAATTTGTAATACTACATTTGTTATGATAAGAATTATTTAATGGCGCCCAACCACCCCCATTGACCCCCTCAACCATCACCGCCACTGCTGCCATCATTGTCGTTGTCGTGCCAATAGTGATAGTGAATCTCTAATATAATATAAATCTCATAGTGATTACATAGATCTTTAAGCCCGTTAGTGATCATGTTATTATTTACTCCCTCTATTTATTACTCCCGTTATTTATTACTCCCTCTATCTCACAAAACTTGGTCATATTGACTTTTCTTGGTCAATGATGACCATGTTTGACCATTGCTATTTTGGTATGAAATTAGAAGAAAAGGTCTTTTCTTAAAAATACATTTTTAAAAAGTATAAAGGTTTTAAGTTTCAGTTGAACATAATAGTTAAATTCATTGTCCAATAATGATAGTGAATCTCTAATATAAATGTGGTAGTGATTACATAGCTATTTAACCCGTTAGTGACCATGTTATTATTTACTACCACGTACACATTTCGCCGATTGTGGCATGAGACGCTACGCTGAAATATGTATGGCGAATTGGCGATCACGTTGTATCTTTGGTTCTAGTTAGTGCAACTAAAGTTACAGTCACTGTGGCTAGAGTTTCAGGGACTCTAGGTAGGATTAGGGTTCGAGTGACGGCAGCTAGTGACAGTGGCGGATCTTGCAACTAAATGTTTGGTGTTCAAAATTATTTTACCATTAAGATGTTACTTAATAGTACAATATATAAATTATTACATCAATTCTATACATACATTTTTACACTTAATTTTCAAATTTGAGTGTTCACATGAACACCCTTGAATAAAGAAGGTCCACCACGGGCTAGGGTTCTGTTAGGGGTGGGAACAGTCTGGGACGGTCCGAGAGTTGGCTTATCCTAATCCCGTCCCGGTTTTATAACAACGGTTCGGTACGGTATAAGTCTTTATCCCAATGTTGTCCCATTTAATTAAAACGGGACCGGGACAACCCGAGAAAAACCGGGACGGTTCGGGATGTCCCATAAAATATGCATTTGTGAAATGTGATATAAAAATAAGCATAACATCAAAATAAAGACGTAACTATTTTTGCAAATTTGGCTTCCCTAAAAAGTTAACTAAAACCTTTAATTAACTATTTTTAATTTTTGTCTTGTAAATTTTTTGGTCCCCCTAATCTTGTGTTTTCTTTAGTAGAATAGTAGTGCAAAATATTTTTATACTTTGTAGTACACTTGTAATTTTTCAATACGACATTAAATTAAATAACATATCTATAAAGACTATATATATATATATTCTAGTAGTTATTTTGGAAAATATTAAATCTATAACAACACTATAATTTGGAGTAGTAGTTATTCCATCATAAATAATATATTATGGTTTAATATTGGAATGAGAACTTTATAAATTTTAATCAAAAGAAACAAAAGAAATGAGACTAAGAGAGACATGAAATAAGATAAAATTACACTAGGGAGACTAAGGACTAGAAAATTTTAATTGGGTTTGACTATTACATAACATTCGAAATTTCAAATAACATATTAATTTCAAACGGGATACCGGGATGGGACATGATATTTTATAGCTATCCCGGTCCCGTCCCGGTTAATATCGGTGCGGGACCGGTTCGGGATGAAAAAATTGTGTCCTAAATGGATCGGGATAGTTTCGGAACGGTATCGGGATTTTTCGGTTTGGGACATCGGGACCGGGATTTTTGCCCACCCCTAGGTTCTGTTGTTGTGAAGATCACTATAGTTCATCTGACTACGGTTATTACTCAAGTGTCAGCGACTAAGGGGACTTTGATAGTAACTGTACACGTTGATCATTACTTTCATCGCCATCAGCAAGTGTGATAATGACGGCGGGGACATTTAATGGGTGGGGTAGTAGGGCAGTGTTGGGTGGACAGGTGGGAGACGCGGGGTGAAATTAATTACCTTTTATTATTAGGTTTAAATATGATTTTAGTCCCTTCAAATATGTCATACTTTGTTTTAGGTCCCTAGAAAATATGTTCTTTCTTTTTCATCATATCCCTGTAATATGCGCTATTTTGGTTCTAGTCCATCTTTAACTCCGAAGCAACCCTACTTGAAATTCCTTTTATTGTCAGTTGCATAAATCTACTAGGAACATTTATATTTATCACTTTATAATTTTTTTTAGGCTAATATGACAGTTCATTCAATACTAAAACTAATTATTCAAATTTTTAAAATATGTACTAAAAACCTTTTAAAAGTAAAATTAAATATTTTTTGAATGACATGACAAAGAAGTAAAGGATACATATTAGTTGGAATTGTTTGCTTGTCAAATGGAGGTTGTTATCATTAGTCGTGGACTAAAAGGAAAACAAACATAAATTCCAGTGATGAAAAACAAATAAAATATTCTGCAGAGACTTGAAACCAAGTGTGCTATATTTGCAGAGACTATTATTATCCTGCATTGAATTGAATAATAATCAAAATAAGTAACACTATTATTATCTTGCAGAGACTTAAACCTTATTATTAACATTATTATTATCTTGACTTGAATTGAATAATAATCAAAATAAGTAAGACATTAATTATTTTTCTATGTGAATGTAATGTAGACGATCATTTCAACTTTTTTTTATCTAATTTTTTCTTCATTTTATTAATAAAAAAATGTTTCAATAAATATCCAGATTCAACTAATTCAATAAAACTTTCATAAATATGAACAATTTGAACCTAATTCAAACAAGGGATAAGGGTCAGATAGGGCCTCGAACTTGAAAAAAAATGTCAAATAAGATCATATTTAGGATGCTCTGTCTGGCCCACACCATTTGGGGTGCTTCCCGATGGAATTTTTTAATGAATTTTTTTGAGCATCGTCCTCATTAAGTCTAGTTTACCCATACCAAATTTCAGCTAAAAATTCAACTGGGAAGGCAGTCAAATGATTTTTTGAAGATAACTGTGAAGTTAAACAACGCAGTACGTTTCGGAAAATCATTTGACTACCTTCCCGGTTGAATTTTTAGCTGAAATTTGGTATGGGTAAACTAGACTTAATGAGGAAGATGCTCAAAAAACTTCATCAAAAAATTCCATCGGGAATCGCCCCAAATGGTGTCGGCCAGACAGAGCATCCTAAATATGACCTTATTTGACATTTTTTTTCAAGTTCGAGGCCCTATCTGACCCTTATCCCTTCAAACAATTTTGGGATAAGTCTCAGGTGGTAAGCGCCAAAGTCAACGTGACCACTTCCAAAAATGACGTAAAACCTGCCGTTACTAATCGGTCTCTCCCTCTCTATTATTATGAACTCTGCACTCCTCTATATATATAGCCCTCCACCGCCAACACCTTCGTCTACTAAAACAGAAACCTCACTCCATTTTCATTTTCTTCACTCCATTTTCTTCGACCACAAAAGCTTCAGGAATTGAAATGGCAAATGATCAAGACCCTTTCACTGGTGCTTCTTCATCCTCACAGAAGCTGCCTGACGACATGTACCTCGTGGGCTTCGTGACGGCCAACATTTTGTGCCTCAGAGGCTATGCCGGCGGTGTCATCAGCGGAGAAATGGTGAACCTTGTCCGTCAACCCGTCAACGCTATCCAAGTGTTCAACCTTCTCAACGAAGAGGTCGGCCACATCGAGTCCTCCGCTGCCCGAGTCTTATCTCCTCTCATGGACGCTAGGATTATCATGATCCAAGGTATATCTATGAATCTATGATGATGATTGGTGTCAAGCAATTTTGCCTTGTACAAAATATAAACTCTTTGATGTTTGTAAGGATCATAGTCTGTGTTTTGTTTTGGTTAAGCTCTGCATTTACTTGTGTTGGTGTGATGAACTAGGTGTTATTCCAAAGATGTATTGGGAAGGATACACCTATGAGGAGGTCCCATGCCAAATTCACATCTTTACCACCATATCCGCATCCATAACTGTCAAATCCATGATTCAAACTGCTAGGTTGCACTTCATTTCTGCAAATGACCCTTCTATGGCTTTATCAGAGTTACCCATTGTGAAAGAACATGTGGATGCAGCTGTGAGGAGAAGCGTGGATGAGATTTTTAAGGTTCTCCGTGAGAAGAAAGCTTTGGGGACATTAGACCCTCCAAATGCCATCATAAAGTCTGAACTTCTTCCACATCAGAAGGAAGGATTATGGTGGCTAGTCCAGCAGGAGAAAGCCAAATATTTGCCTCCTTGCTGGGAGGAAATAGATGGGCATTTTGTCAACGCATTGGCGAATTACAGTACCGAGAGCTGTCCTGATCCTATCCGGGGTGGGATCTTCGCAGACGAAATGGGTTTGGGTAAAATTCTCACTATTCTTTCACTGATTGCGTTGGATAAATTTGAAGATTTGGAGCAAACGGAAGGTATACCCATTTTTTCTATTGGTGAAATCTCTGAGAGTGGGAGAGCTAGCCATGAGACCATGCAAGATATGTGTTTTAACATGGTCTGTTCTTCACATACGAGAACGACTTTGGTTGTGTGTCCGCCAGCTGTGTTGTCAGTGTGGATGACACAGTTAGAAGAGCACACTACAGTTGGTTCTTTGAAGGTGTACATGTATTATGGCAGTAAGAGGACTAAAGATGCCAACGCCCTTCAACAATATGATTTGGTTTTGACAACTTATAACATTGTGGCTAAAGAATATGAGTTGTTGGACTCACCAATGAAAATGATAGAGTGGTGGAGAGTTGTTCTCGACGAGGCACACGTGATTAAGAATTCAGATTCTAAGCAGAGCCAGGCCGTTAACAACTTAAAAGCCAAACGGAGGTGGGTTGTGACTGGGACTCCAGTTCAGAATAGCCCACTTGATTTGTATGCTTTTATGGCGTTTCTTAAGGTTGAGCCTTTTTCTATCAAGAACTTCTGGAATACTTTGATACAACGCCCCCTTTTACGTGGAGATCAGATGGGATTTTTACGGCTTCAGGTAAAAGCAGTTCTCTATCTTCTAACATGAGCAAGTAGTTCAGCTATATGAGTTTGAAAGTTTTTGTTTACAACTGCATTGCATTTTCCATTTCTTTTTTCAACTGGTAGTTAGGAATATTATCAGATGTAATAGCCTAATCATCATTTGGACCAAGATCAGCATTATCTTCACTTTTTTCCAAGTCTACAAAGATATACTGAGGCCTTGAGGGAGAACTTGCAGCTTTTACGAAATAGTAAAACCTTAAAAGAGTATTTTATTTCATTGAGGTTCCAAAGGTTTTTTTGACCTGAAAGTTTCCAAATTTTTTATTATCAATCTTTCACAACTAACCAGGAGCATGTTACTCATCCGGTGTGTTGGCTTATTCATAGAGGTTCTGTCCAGTAACTCGGTTTTCTCGAATCGAAATAATAAAAAATAATAAGAACAACCGCTCGTTCTTTTTCTGCATCTTTTTCATATCTTACATCACAGCATGTTTTCTCTTCCACTGCTGTTTCTATATCACAATTATGCCTGTCTAGAAGAGAGTTTGTGCTTTGGGTTTTCCATTATATTACAATTTCTAACCGCTTGTGACTTTGTTTTTGCCATATCAGGCTCTAATGGACACAATGTCATTGAGAAGAACAAAAGATAAAACACTGGTTGGATTGCCAACAAAAATTATATGGACATATTATGTGGATCTGTCTGATGCAGAAAGGGAAATTTATGATCAGATGGAATTTAAAGCAAAGCAAATTATTCAGAACTATATTCATGAGGAAAGTTCAATGAAGAATTATTGGACTGTACTGAGCGCACTTGTGCGCCTTCGACAAATATGTGCAGATGTGTCCCTGGTTCCCGCGGAGCTTCGAGATTTACTTCCATCATCTCAAATTGGAGGTAAGCTGAGCTTGGTCCCCCCCCCCCATATATGCTGTCTCCTCTATGTTGGCTTTATACATTTCCCGCTTGCTGATTTGAGCGTTTTTTCATTTATTACTTCTACTTCATTTATATTGTTAAATATACCATTTGTCACCTTAGGTTTCCATAGAGGGTATAATGCTTCTCCATTTACTATGAGTAGGAGTTTGAGGTTTCAGGACTAAACTACTCAACACTAGTTCTATATATTTGTTTCCTAAAAAACATAATCACGTTAATCTTCAAGTTGCATTAAAAGTAGATCGCTTACGCCCGAAACACTTAATTCCAACTGATATCATTATATTCTATCATAATATTGTGCCAAAGGTGTTTTCTTTAAAAAAAAGTCACTGCTCAAAAGGTTTATTTAATTTGCTGACTTGAAAATAATTTAGGGGTTTTTTATAACAAAAAACAAAAAACATAATAATTTGCTGACTTGAGAAAAAGTTTAGGGGTTATTTGATAGTTTGACTCAACTTCAACCTCCTTTAAGGCCTTAAAAAGAACATTGATGAGGATAAATGGAAAGCATGGTCAATTAGAATTATGAAGGGATGAATAGCAATAAAAACAAATCATATTTCAAGAATGAAGGATCTGAAACAAAAAAAAAAAAAACTGCTACATATATGAAGGAAAACATATTTCAGCCTCTTACGTTTTTGTTAAATAATCATTCTGATATGCTCATTGGCTGAAACAGATGTACAGAACAACCCACAACTGCTCCCTAAGGTGGTGATGGCACTACAAGATGATGATGACATTAACTGCCCAATTTGCATATCACACCCAAAAGACACAGTCATTACATGCTGTGCTCATATCTTTTGCAAGATGTGCATCCTCACGACACTCCAGGAAAACAACCGAAGCTGCCCAATTTGTCGCCATCCGCTCACGGAGTCCGACCTCTTCTTCGCACCATCACAGGCTGCTCCCGCATCAGACCGTGAAGGAAACGGCCCATCCACAAAAGCCACTGCCCTTCTAAAACTTCTCCTCACAGAACGGGAGCTGGACCCGACAGCAAAATCAATAGTGTTCTCGCAGTTTAGCAGGATGTTGCATTTACTTGAAGAGCCACTGAAAGCTGCAGGTTTGAAGATACAGCGGTTGGACGGGTCGATGAACGCAAACAAACGGGCCCAAGTGATAAGGGAATTCAGTATCCCGGCACCCGAAGGAGCCACGGTCCTACTTGCAAGCCTTAAGTCATCGGGAGTTGGAGTAAACCTCACAATGGCTTCAAGTGTTTACTTGTTTGATCCGTGGTGGAACCCGGCGGTCGAGGAGCAGGCCATGGACCGTGTGCATAGGATTGGCCAAAGGAAGGAGGTGAGAATTGTGAGGATGATTGCACTTGACACCATTGAGGAAAGGATATTGCGGCTGCAAGAAACGAAGAAAAGTTTGACTCGGGAAGTTTTCATGAAGAAGCAAAGCTCCCAAGATCAAAGAGATATAAGCACAGATGACCTCATTAGCTTGATGCAGTTGTGATTCAAACTGTTGAATCAAAAGAAGTTTGATGAATGAATTGAAGCATCACATTGGACAAGTCGCATACATGGTAAAACCTCTTCTTAGCTTCTTCCTCACTGCCAACAACTTTGGCTAGGATTATGATTGATGGTTTTCAACGCCTATATTGTGTGTAAAAATGTCTCAATGAGTTTTTTTTTGAAGAAATGAAACTCAGCTGTAAACTAATGTAGCAGTTTTGTAGAGTTAGAAGTATTAACTTCAAATTTGGTAATTGATCATAATAATTTTTTCTTGTGAGCAACAGTTAAATTCTAGCGATCTCTGATTTGATTGTTTGAAAACATCCATTTGTGGAACATATCTTTGTAACAACCCATAAGAGTCCAATTATCCAAATATAATATATATATGAACATTTAGGTACTAATTTTGATGAATAACCGATCTCAAAATTTTAAGCTTTAATCTGGAGAATATATGTAATGAATTCCCACCCCCTCAATGTATAGGGAACTTTACTTTTACATGACTTGTAGTCAATGTGCTCTTTTAATTTTAACCTGTGTTTAGTTTTCTTATGCAAGTCATTGTTACGTGTCTAGCTTCCTTGATTTATTCTTAACTTTTCTTCGATATTTGATCCGCCTGGCAAAACTTCATTTTTGAAGATGGATTACATGATTATGAATGGAGAAAACAAGGAAATGAATATCTTAGATAATCACTTCATTAACGAGATTAACTAATGAAGGTATTAAAAATAAAAGTAGTAATAAAATCAATCAATCAAGCAAATCAATTATCCATCACTCCTCAGTTTGATTGTTCTTTTTATAATTCCATAATATTATATTGTAGATTTGTAGCATGCATGATATAGCAATTCCATATATATGTTGCTGCCTGAAACTGGGAAAAGATATGTTGCTGATAGAACCTTGAGGATATGTAATGTTCTGTAAGAAGTTGATAGAAAATATTGGGTGAGAAAGATGTCAAAGTTTATATTTGATGAGGTGCAATCCTGGAGGTTATAACTAAGAACTTGTGTCTTAAATAAGTATTCATATGTGAAACACTATAAATCCTAGAATTTATAAACGATGCACATAATATTTCTTGCAAAACGAGTGAAGATCTTATGAATCAAAACAAACATATTGATGTTGCAGTTTTAAAAGTTCAAACATTTTGATCAAGTTCATGAAAGATATCAGAATTGATGAAAGTGATGCATCTTCTAAGTTCTAAGGATGGTAATATTGTTGAACTTCTAAGGAGTATGGTCAATCGTAAATTTGTAATGATGACCATCTGTTAACCTTTCAAACTAAAAAAGAGACATTATTCGTGCTGCCGCAACTAGACCTTCAAAAAAAGATAAATTTGTTTAAATTTATTAATATGTTTTCATAACAAAAAAGTTTATAAATATTTACATGTTATACCTGAGGCATACTCTTTATATTGCCCCGGGCTAAAAAATATCAGTGTGGGCTTATCTTTTGGAACAAGGATTATATTTCTGTGGCTCTGTATATATGTTGAACTTCTAACATGATAATATTGCGGCAAATGAGACCATCGAAGAAAATAGAATTAATTCCACTTTTGGTCCTACGAGTTTTGTGTCAATTCCACCTTTAGTCCACGTCTTTCACTTTATCCACTTTTGGTACTTGACTAATGTTTTTTAACCGTTTGTGGTCCTTTTCCGGCGATTTTAACCATCGGAAACAATGCCGGAAGGACCATATATGGGCGAAAACATAATAATCATATACCAAAAGTGGACAAAGTGAAAGATGTAGACTAAATGTGGAAATCACCTAAAGCTCATAGGACCAAAAGTGGAATTTATTCAAGAAAATATAAATGACCTTGGCGATAGATAATTTTATAATATTGTTTATCAATCTTTGGATCGATGCATCAATCAAGGGTTTATGTTATTGATCAATGAAGAAATGACCTTTGCTTTATGTTATGTTATCGGAAATGGAAGAGAGTGCTTTATGCAATTTCTCTTATACGTGTTTGGATGTGCTTAGAATGATATGAGCTCATAACCGAAATAAAAACATTTAAAGGGTTATGGATGAACAAACTTGTGATAGATGATTATCGTTGAAGGTTTGTAGATAAACTTGGTTGTAATCTGTATGAGGAGGTTGGTTAGCGATGGTTGAAGTTTGATTGACGAATTTGAGGTGAGAAATAAATACAGAAAGAAGATTTGGTAGTGTGTGAGAGAAAGAGCCTAATTTTTTTAAGAGCCAAAAATTATGTGCCAAGAATGATTATGGCTTATAACGATAATGATGATAAGGAAATCAATCTTTCTAAAAACTTATAAACACCAATGAAAGTAAGAATATTTTAGATATGAAAAATTTGTTGGTGTAACATCACAGTTTTGTCTACATGTACTTCAGCCTTCACCGAGTGTACTCTCTCGCCTTTATTTCTCCCCTCACCAAACGGCTGTCATCCTCCAGTTAACACTTCTCCCCTTACATTCCATCACATTCTCGCTTCAACCCCCATTGATCATGCTAGGGGCTAAGAAGCCACTTCGTTGCACGCATACACAAGCCCGGTACCATCGCCAGCGTCCCTGAACCGCTTGGGTTCCCTTCATCTTCTCCCCGTTCTCTAAGGTATTGATTTTGTGTTTTATGATTAATGCATTTAAAGATTTCATTCAATTGGAACTCGATCTTAACAATCAGTTGTTTTCAACTCCGGTACGTCGCAAGTTTTAGCAACTCAAGAGCATTTATCAATTTTAATCGTTCCCCCTTCCATCGTATACATATGCTTTCCTTGCTTGGTAGATGCTGTCTTCTACATCTCGCCACTCTGCTCCAGGTAAACGTTATATCCATGGGCATTTGTTGACTGGCTGTTTTTCCTCAACTGCTTTCACTGCCTATCTGAATATTAGTCTAAACAACCTTTCATGGAGAACAAGTCCATTTCAAATGAATTTGGCTACAAAGTATTTCTGGAACATACATAAAATATTTTTTTAAGCATAGTGGGTGTTTGTGAATATGTCTAAATGAGATATTACAATTCTCTTGTGTTTCCTTAGAAAACCTCCATTCAAAACACCCTTTGCGATCAAATTTTTAGTCACATTGACTGATACATTTAGTATCATTTTTATGTGGCCATATATCTTTGTCCAGTCTGGTCCTGGGATTTCACAGAGGTTTGGTTCTGCCTTCTTGAACACTGCTTGGCCAGAATAAATTGGGAAGTAGGAATGAAATCTATTCCCATGGGAAAAGAATTAAGAAGAAACTTCAAAATTCTTTTGCTCGGTTGGTATGAATGAAATTACCCCAAATTCTAATTCCACCGGTAATTGGTTAAGTATGGGAATATTAAATATTAAATACTAAGACCAAACTGCCACTTTATATATACATGTGGTAGTGTGGTTACCACTCAATTTGAGTCTAGAGATAATATAAGTCTTATTGAGCTAAAATGTTGTTCGCGCTGGGGGCACAAAGAAATTAATATCACAGTGAGTCCTATGGTTATTTTTATCTGGTAGCAGTGAGGGAAAAGATGTTCCAGAGGAAAATGTATTCCTATATACCCAAACTTCAGAACTTTTTAAGAAATTAATATCACAGTGAGTCATATGGTTATTTTTATCTGGTAGCAGTGAGGGAGGGAGCAGTGAAGGAAAAGATGTTCCAGAGGGAAATTTATTCCTATATACCCAAACTTCAGAACTTTTTAAGTTTTTTTACTATATAATTACGACCCAGAAATGATAAATTGAGCTTAACATCTTAGTTTTCTTGTGATAGGGCCGTAAGATACCACGAACCAGAACATTGGGAATTCGGGGACAGTGGGAACAAGTATTTTCGTCACATTACATGGAAAATATACGGAATATCAAAAGACTCGGCTACTTAGGGGGTGTTTGGATCTGATTCTTAAAACTGCTTCTGCTCCTTTAGGGAGCAGAAGCAGAAGCTGGAGTTTTTTGGTGAAAGAGCAGAAGTGATTCTGGTGCTCAAATTTACTCCTAGAATCAGTATTTTTAGAAGTTGGGGGTAACCAGCTTCTGAAAACTGATTCTGCTTCTGCTTTAAAAAAGAAGCAGAAGCAGAATCAGTTCCAAACACCCCCTTATATTTCACTTCACCCGTTAGTATGCATTTTTTTATTGCTTCCTTGGGTTTTGTCTTTTCACACTTTTATTTTATTTGTCTACAATACATGTGAGAAATAATGTTCTTAGCCGGGCCCATGCAGGCATGTACTACACAAGTATGCTAATGAGGATGTTTCATTGGGACCAGTTAGACCGGTTCTGAGTACCTGTTCAGGTACATAACCAAAAAACAGGTGCTGGTTTAGTTCCTTTACCCGATTTCTGGTCCAGTCCGGCCTTGGAACCATCACGGTGGAAAATCAACCAATCAAGTATGGCAAAGAACAGATATAGTAAGCCTCTACTATGAGCTGAGGAAAAAGGAGTTAAATATTTATCATAGAGTTTGTCAGGCTCTCAGTTGATCAACACGGATGTCAAAACATCAATAATTTCAATCGTACGTGTAGAACACTCTTGTTTACTTTTTGACATAGGTAATCAGTATGGCATTGTCATACATGATCTTGAAGCCTTGGAGTGCCTGTGATGCCACTGTGGATTGCATCTCATCTCCATTTTCCACAAAAACAATTCTGGGTTTTGCTTCCACCATCCTAACTTCCTTAAAGCCGGGATATTGGCAAAAAAGCATTTGGAGCATCATTGGAGTGGTCTGATGTGGAAGGTTCTGGACAAACAATGTCTTATTTGGCGGAGCAAGAGCCTCCTGTAGAGCAGCACCAATTGCTCCACCCATATAAGGTATCTGCATAGCTGCCACAATAAGAAAATGGTAAGTGAGAGAGCAATGAGAACGCTCTTCCACTGTAGAGCACAACAAGAACCTATTTGATTTATTTCACATACGCTTGTATATATTCCGATAAAATTTTAGTAGGCAATTCAGTAGATTGAGCCACAGCTTTAGTGCAATCACCCAACTTACAGAACAAGCCATAGCTTTCAAGCACCATCATGCTGGTGCTCCTTTTTGCTTCCTTCCCGCTGGACGAAAAAGGAAAAGTAATTCGAATGTTACAAAAAAAATACTATAGACATTTTTTATACTTTTAAACTTAAAATAATGTACTATGTTTAGACTTTAGAGGACGTTTGGCAGCACATTTTTTCGGCTTATCAGACTTATTGGCCAACTTTTTTCCCAAACACGTAACTTTTGCTTTCGC